TAATAATAATCATTCTAATAATAATTTAAATAGTAATAATAATAATAATAATCATTCTAATAATAATAATATAAATAATTTACAAAATAGATTAAATAAATTAATTAAAAATAATCAAATTAATGAAAATAAAGAATTTGAAAATAAAATTAATTTACAAGATTTAGAAAATGAATTAAATGAAATTGAAGAATATTTAACAAGTGAAATTGTTACAAAAGAATTATATTGTAAAGAATATTTAAAATCACATAGATATGCTCCATTTATTAAAATAGATACTATAAATGGTAATTTAATTTGGAATAGAAATGTAATTAATAGTGGTGTTATTTATAAACATGATAAAAATTATAATAATAATGATGATGAATATAATTTAAACAGATTATTAATTACAATACCTTCTTATCATATTTTAAATAGTAATAATTTATTATAATAAAATTTATTTAAAATTTATAAATCATTTATAATTATTCATGTATTAGGACTAATACAATGAGAATGCAAATGTTTGGAGGCTAGGGAATGTTGTTGAAAAGAAAGGCTTGGTGGAAGGCTGAAATTTAACAAGTGATTTTGGCGCCAAATTTAAGTTAGCGCCAAAAAATTTCGTTACATTCTTCAAACACTTTAAAAAAAATGACATCATTACATCGTTCAGCCTTGCGTGATATTACCAACACATCATCATCACTTAATGCTAGTACACTAGGTTCTAACAATAACAGTGGATTAAAATCCATACTAATCTCCAACAATAAGAATGGTCCAAGAGATTCCATAAAATCAACAACATCAAATACATCATCCATTCTATCTACTAGTATGATCATAGGTGGTGGTGATAGACTTAATTCTTCTACAATAACCTCCTCTGCTGCTGCTTCTAATCAACAACAATCATTTAATTTTAATCACATGATTAATGCACTAGTTGAATTCTTCTCTAATGAAAATCTAGGTATTGATATTAGTATGAAAACATTCCGTGAAGGTGATTCATCCAAGTTGAGATTCTACTTGAATCATTTATTTAAACAAATTGATATGAATTTATGTGTTACCTTTCCAACTCATAGTGAAATGAAGAAGGCTAATCAACAATCTAATTCTTCTAATAACAATTCTAATTCTTCTAATAATAATAATACAACTATTAATAGACATTCAATGGTATCAGGTTTAAATGAAGAATTAGTGATGGAACTTGTAGAGTTTTTTAAAATTCCAGTTTCACTTAATAAGAGACATTTTAGTATAACACCACAATCTAATAGAAATTGGCAAGTGATGATACAAGTAATGTATCATTTAATTAATATTGTAAAACATTCTAGAAATGTAACTTATTGTTCTGAACAAGAATTTAAACAAGAATTAATTTTTTTTACATTTTTAAGTAATTTATATTCACCATTTTTAGAAAATGATACAACAGGTACAAATACAATAATTAATGAATGGAAAAGTAAATTTGGAAATGATTCACAAAGATGTAAACAAGAATTAG